CACAAAACTGCTCTTTAGGTAATATAATATGAAAAGTTTAGTCAAGCCTAAGAGCGGAGTTCCCTTTGCTGTCCCCGTTGCAACATTATACTTGAAAGATTACTTTTAGGTAGTTACAATTAAATTTGTTTCAGTGGTATTTACTGTTTTAAATTAAAATTTAAAACAGTAGGCTGCAATCCAACGGGGGTTACGGAAAACTTAAAAACAAACGTGGCCTCGTTGGTTTAAGCACCTGAGCCCACGCTTACGTGATAGGAATGCCCCATCATAGACAGCTGTGAGCTGACTTGGTATGTATGGCGTGCATTATTCTGTAGGTATAGAAAATTATATTAATGCGAGTAAATTTAGCAATTTATGGGCTTTGTATTGTTTGGAAAGTTATCCGAAGAGGAATCAAAAGTTGAAATCATAAGTGAACATAAACGACGAAATGCGCAAGCTGTTTATACGATTTTTTGTTTTTAACTTTTTCAGGCTTTGTGGCTACCATCACGCTACTGTAAAGATATAACGCTAATGGCTTCCAAACTGCTCATTTTTTATATTTTTGCTGTCAAAAAAAATCTTGTGACGGGCAGATTAATAAAAAATTGCGACAGTGATGAGTGGTACAGAAAAGTTTTTTTGAGCTTAATGAAAGGTTTACAACAATACTTTTTTTGATGGCTTCCTTCAAAATGATCGAGATTGAGTAATCTATTGCATTAAGACTAATGGGAATTGCGTTGCGTAAATTGTGCATTCAGTCACATCTTGATCTTTGTGTTCAGCCTGCACAGATATCGCGTCAATTAATGTGTGTCAACAATGGTACAACAATGGACTCTGTTCAAATCCAACAGTGAAGAACTGGTGTAAGAAAAGTTGTCACGGATGTCAAGGTTTGCATTATTACTCGTTCTTTTTGTTTTTTGTTTTTTGTTTTTTGTTTTTTTTTTTGGCGTTTTGAAAAACTGTTTAATTTCGTGCTGAGTTTGGTAAATTTGACGATTATCTTGAAAAGAGGTGATTTGAAACAAACTGGTATCTTTCCTTTACAAACAGTTATGAGTGAACGATGATTCGAAGCAGGCAATTAAGTATAAGCTGGTATATTACTCTTGCTTTATCCAGGGTCGGCCAGGGCTTTTGGGTATACAGTATATTGGAGTATTTAATTTCAGGTATACAGTATTTTAATGCTTAAAGTTGGGTATAGAGTATTCACTCATGACTAATTTTGGGTATAAAGTATACCGTGTTTTATTATTATTATTATTATTATTATTATTATTATTATTATTATTTCAATTTGGTATTTTACACGAGTTCTAGTACAATGTTTGGTATATTGGAAGCTTTATTTCGGGTAATTGGTATATCAATACCCCCCCTGACCGACCCTGTTTATCAGCTGTCATATATTAATATGAATACCCGTCTTGTCTTCACTGAATACTGAAATATTTTCACTTTCAGCTATTTTCGGTCAGGGTGGATACCTCTATCAGTCTGGATTGAACACTTCGGTTTGTGCTAATGTGGCGAACGACAGCCAGTGCTACAAGTGGTTTAGCAGTGGACTTTGTTTGAATCCAGGAGTCCGTCAATACTGCAGAATGACATGCGCAACTTGTCAGGGTTAAGTTTAGTTTCCTCTAAGCTGCTTTTCAATTTAGAATGCAAAATAATCGTGAGCTTCTTGATGTCGTACTTAAGCAATAGAAAACGTTTTCCGTGTTTGCATAGCCTGATATAAACACGAGAGGGGTTGGTGCCAGAAAACTTTTGAGTTTTTCTGCCCAATCAGAAGGCAGAACGGCGGCGACCGTTTGGAACTGGTCTGGTAAGACATTGTCCCCAGGGGCTCTTGTCGCCGTTCTTTACTTTTCTTCGTGCCATATTTTTCCGCCCGTTTAGACTTTCCCTCGCCCCCACTATCTGCCTCTCGGTCTCCGAGGATGGGTTTCATAGTGTAAGTCAAGCTTGTCATTTTAAAACCAATCAAGTACACCCCGTGTAGGCAGAGGAAAGCCGAAAGACACGGAATAAACAGAAGTTAGCCAGTTTCGGGCAAAATATGTATGCCCGCGAACATAAACTCTATTATTTTATTAGTTTTTCTAACGCCAAGAAACACCCATTTTGACACTACAATGGAGGACAAAAGAACTTGGGACTGTGTGAAAGAGCCCTTCCAACCAATTGTTACGTAGAACCCTGCTCCTAACGACAATTTTTTGTTCGGCTTTGGGTTCATCCCGTCGTTCCCCCACTTCCCCCAGCAATGTTGTGGCCAAAAAGCACTCATTCTCACCCATTTTGCTCAAAATTTAACTTTGTTTGGGGTGGGAGGGGTCTCTAGTTTTAGTAATATCACTGGAAAGGTCCCAACACTTTTGACCTTCACTGTCTGAAAACCACTTTGTTTAGAACACTAGACGTTGCTTTGTGAGCTGTTGCACAATGAATATCTTAATGCTGTAATTGATCTTTTGATGACGGTATGATATATTTTTTCAGACTAGAACAGCTATTCTTTTGCTCTAAGAGCGCTGGAAATAATCACGACATTTAGCCGTAACATCATATAGAGCACTTTTCTGTTATATGTTTGCAAAGTTTCTTCCTTGTCTTTGTAAAAAGCAATGTAGCGTCAGTAACACTTTCGGCTACAGTTCCAGACATGCCAAATGGTAGATATTTTATAGTATCTTGAACGTTGATGGCAAAGAAGACAGTGTAACGGAATCTCGAGGTTGCGTTACACTGAGTAGTTGAGCGCCACTTAACATGTCTCGCCTTCAGTTCTCGGCTATTTAAGTGAATATATATGTCCTTGATAAAATGTTTGTTTGCGATGAATTATTGATATTTGCCTGCACAAAACAGAAGCATTGAGTGATTTACGACAGTTCTCGTCCTTTTATAGCATAAAAATAATGTTTGAAATTTTGTCTATTATTTAGTTAGGGGCGAGAACTTTTTAAAAGTAGCCTATTAGGCTTGAGACTTTCCAGTACAGGCACGTTTTTCTCTCAGACTAGATGAGATACTTTGTAACTTTGTAACTTTACTTTGTAACTTTATTTGATTTACCACAAAATACAAATAACGATAAAACAAGACAGTTATACAAAAGCAAAGGAAAGTGGCGAGGAAGCCCAAAATTAAAGAAACCATGAGGCTTATAGACATTGGGCTCCCTCAGAGTAAAAATAAAGTTAACATTAACGGTAAGGCCAGGATCGAAAGTAAAATACAATGAAGGTAAGTATAAATTAACTAATTACATAGACTGAGTTAACAGAATATAAGGTATGGTACAAGTAACAATAAGAATGAAAATAATATCAGACATGTGAAGAAATATAACTATTTACTACAAGATTTATAACTAATAATTCATATATAATTTTTTTTCAATTTTGTTTTGAATAAGTGGAGAGAATTAGACTCTTTAATATCATTTTCTATCGAGTTATAATAAGTAGGTCCTTAGAAACTGACAGAAAATTTACGAAGGTTTGTTCTACAAGAAGGAAGGTGAAAATCGTTCGCGTGTCTAGTGGCATCGCTATGGACTTGTTTGTTTAAAGAAAAATAATTGTTGAACTTTGAAGGCAAAAGAGAATGGTTAAGAGCAAACATAAGTTTACCCAATTCTAGCTGTCTAATATCGGGAAGTTTTAGTAGTCCTAATTCTTTGAAAATAGGGTCTGAATGAGAATCGAAAGTTGATTTAGAAATAATTCTGATAACTCGCTTTTGCAAAGATACAATATGTGAAAGCACCTAATTTGCTTAACACTGTTTCAAACGCAGGAAAATATACTTTTTACAGGTGAGGACTGTAGGGTGAGAACTGTGAGAACTGTGCAGTAACTTAAAGTATACTAGGTCACGCATAGCAATTTCCGGCGATATCAGGGCAGATATGCTGGGAGCAGTCAACAGAATAATGTTAGCGAAGCAGAAGTCACAGGAAATTATGCTCACCGTTTAATTTGGCTGTTTGATCGCCCAAGCGTAAGACAATCTTCTGAAAGTTTTCCATGTCTCCGTGTTCACACGTTGACGCAGAACCTACAGGGCGCACGCTAAGTAATATCTGGGCCAGGCCTTACAGAATGTTACAGGGGTAGTTTGTACGGTATAAAAAGGGTCATATTCTGGCTTGGCTAAGAATTGCCCTTTGTGTCTTCTAAGTACATCTTCTCAGATAGTAAATATAGGTACTAACAGCATTAAAATGCCTTTAAGAGCTCAATCCAAAACACGTCGTTCAAATAATCACTTAGTTCTTATTGGGTAAACTGAATGTCCACGCCGAATACCCCCGATTGGCAAGGTATCCGTAACTCTTTGGCACGACAGACGGATCAGCTGCAGCGTATAGACAGCATTTTACTAAAAAAACTACACTTTAACAGTTCTAATGGAAACGTTTTCCTAGATTTTTGTAGTGGAAGATGACGAAAAATTCATTTTATCGCGGTAAATCAATTTCAGACATGGTTGGCGCAAATCTCCGAAAGAAACTGCATTCTTGCACCCGAGCCTTGCGTACGGTGCAGGCTGCATTTGACCTACGAAATAAAGAGTACTCAATACTTTTTGTACCAATTTCCTGACAAATGTTAGTCATTTTTAGGTGTTCCTGTACACGGTGGATATTCGCAGTGGAATTCCTGGTGTCCCTGCAGCCTATCTGGGGGAACTCAACAACGCTCTCGCTCTTGTACCAGTCCCCGACCAACAAACGGAGGAAGAGACTGTAATGCACTGGGATCAGCTATCGAATCGAGAAACTGTAACAACATTCAAAGCTGCCCAGGTAACACTCATTTTATTTTTTTTGTATTCATCCGGGTAGATGTTTCTTTTATTATGGGACTGCTTTGAGGAAGGATTTTGATACAGTTTTCTGGGCAATCTTGTAGACCGTAGGACTAAATGGAAGTGTCTCTCAGATCATTCCCATAATGTGGTTCTGCACAACACTGATCCAGACTTTTTTAATTGCAACCCCAAAAGGCTCCATGTTCTTGTACAACTGTAATATCACGAGTTACAAGTACACTTCGTAAAAAAAAAAAACATTATTATTTAGAATGACTTACATGCTGAATTGTGGAGAACCCAGAGAAGTGAAATCGTACGTCAGCATGTAAAGGCGCACTATGTAGCCACTTCACTTCATGTTTGGTCCTGAATAAATGATAGCGGAAGAAGTGTCTTACATTTTGAGATCTACATGTGACTTCCCTCAAAAACCCCTGTATCCCACGATTAGATTCCGTTCCTGAAAGCACGATTAACTTTAATCTAAGAATGAACTACGTGTTAAATTTAATCCACCTAGCGAGGTCGATTAACTCACTAATCGGGAGAAAAAGTTGAATTAAAAACAAATCAAGTGGCGGACTTACTGTTGCCACAAATACGTGCAAAAAAGTTCTGAGAGCAAGAAATTGATCTCGACCAATTCCTTCAGGCGAAGAGCTTCGCAACAGAGACAGGTTTGGCCAAGATTCAATAAAATACTAAGAAGAAATCCTCAGGAACGACCTCGAGAGACAGACGAGGAGAAAACATAGCCTGCGTGGCAGGCGCAAAAAGGGGAGGGGAAGGGGGGAGGGAGAAAAGCGTACCCTCTCTCCCCAATCCCTTTTTTGTTTTCCCTTCCTTCCTATCCCCTCTCGACGCCTGCTACTCAGGCTAAGAAAACATAGGCTGTTGGCAACGTGGTTACTACTTCATGTAATAAATCGGTCAGTATAAAACATAGACTTCAGACTGTGGACTGAATATAAGGACTATGTTATAAACACTGTTCCAATTATTTCTAGGTAAATGAAGAATTTCGGTTTTCTCTTCTGCTCCTTTGGTTAAACCTCGACCACTTTATTTTCCGCCAGTTTCCCTTTACTTCACCCGTGCCTAAACATTTTTTGCGCCATATTTTTTAAAAGCGATCATCCGAAAAACTAGTTAAACCGGTTTATTTTCATACTAATCTCGGATTAGTTAATCATGGGTTATTTCGCTTTCAGGAACTCCTTTTTAACCCACGGTTAGTTATCCGAGGAATATAAATTTAATCGTGGATTTGACGCTAATCGATATCATCCAGCTCCTGATATTTGAGGATAGTTTAATCGGTTTTCCAGGAATCGGGGGCAGAGCAATAGATAACGTGCCTGGTCATGTTCTTGGTGGATGTCTTATCTTAAGAACTTTTGAGGGAAGGCAAAAACAAAAAATTGGACTGAAGGCACTTACCTTGTGGCACATTTTATAAGCTGACAAACTCTTCGGTGTTCCAATGGAGCTTCCCCTCAACTTCTGGATTTTTTAATTAATGCCATATTTTACGTGATTCGAATTTTTTTGTTACTTGTCTTCCATTATTACCGGTACAGTAATTTATTTTGGGGAAGGAAGTACACTGTAAGTGTAGCCTTTCGAATTCTGAGAACCAACTAACAATTACAATTATATCAATGAGTGTTCGGAATTATAGTAAGTTTATGCAATTTTCTTTTGATTTACGGCTACTCCCACATGGCACAGGATTAATTCTCGACCAATAAAAAATTGGTGCGTTTAGGTGTTTGGTTCACACGAAACCACCTTACTCATGCCAAAAATTTGACCGCAAACGAAGTGACCGGTCAAATTTTTCAGCCGGTAAAAAATTCGTCGGTGCTGTGTCCTGAACTAGCTTAATCTGTTGTTGTATTCAATTATTCATTTCAGCCTGCGGTGGTGCTGTCAGCGCAAAGAGTGGCTCAACAATGAACAATACTTCCATCGAGCATTCACTCAGTAATGAACAAAATAACAATAATAATGGTAATAATGATAATGATGTCATCATATGGTCTGGATGAAATGTTAAAAGCAATGAAGATTTTAGTTTTAACTAAATGTGAGAAACGATTGTAAAAGGGTTCTTGAGTTTTAGCGACGTAATCACGGCAGGGCAACGAAAACAGCGTAGCACCTCAATCTTTCAATCTCATACTTTTCTACCGAAAACGTCAAATGGTATATTTCAAAATTTTGTAGAGTAGACCGCACGTGGACAATGTGTTGAAGAACCTTTCTGGGGAACTAGCTGGTTCTCACAACAAACCTATGATTATTTTATTCAATTGGCTCCTTTGTATTCTTCGGTCCAATGTCACGAAGTTAGCTCAATTCCTATTTTACAATTCTCTCTCTATTCTCTCTGTCCCCGTTTTTATATCAACCTAACAACCAGCTGCTTAAAATAAACTAATCCTGACGTAAGTCTAATCCGATTCGTCACAGCGGGCTAATTTGCATTAGACCTTCGTGATGTGTACTTTGTCAAAGTGCATGATTTTAAATTTTGACTTTTTTCTATGAAGTTGTGGTTGCCCAGTAGGTATAAAATAAGGAGAGCAATATAAAAACTATAAAGAACTTATTTTGACATGAATTTTTGACAATAACAAGATAAAATTAAACTTACAGTTCAGAAGTTTGTTGTTGTTTGTTGTTTGTTGTTGAAAATTCAAGAGGTGTTAAGCTTCTTGTCGAAAATGATTGGTTAAACGTTTCTATAATTAACTGATGATGTGTTCGCAAAATCAAGCATCCTAATTAGAAATTCAGTACGCGGTCAAAGTAGAAATGTTTACTCAGCAAGCACCTAGAAAACTAGGAGATATCTCGGCCTTTTTAATTTGACTATATTTTATTTTACGTAGAAACTATCGACCGACGTGAATTCGGTTGAGAGTGCGAGAAAATAACTCTAAAAATGGTTAGAAATAAAGACGCTGGTCTTTTCCTGGAAAAGACTGATAAAAGTTGAGGATAAAAACGTCAAATTGTGTAATTCTTAGTGTAAATAAGGCTTTGTTCCTTTTGGGGAACTTAAATTAAACATATTTGTATTAATGTAGAGACGTACTAAAATGGGACACTTGTCTCACACCGAATTCATGTTAGGAGAAACTTCTGATCGATCAGCCAATACTATGAGTAGCGAATTAACTTACTAGGATTAATTAACAAGAACGCTTACAACAACTCTACCACAAACATATATCGTAGCAAATGCCACAAGTGGCTAACGTAACTCTTCGATCAACTTTTTCGTTCAACAAGACCAAGGAGAATGAATCAACAGAAATCATTTTCTCATTTCGGGAGAGGATGTCATTTAATCAGTGTAGATGCTTACGAGTCGAACACCAAGTAAACTGAGTCAAATTGTTTTTTATGATATTTCCCTTTAGCTATAGATATTTCCCGAATCGAATGAATTTTGCAGTAAATCCCAAACACCAAATAAAATCCCTTTAATAATTTTAAGTAAAAAACATGCGCACTGCGAACATTTTTCATCGCTTCCATTTTTATTGTTTAACAAATGACACAAATTTTTGTCTCTGTGAACTCGAGAACTTCAAAGCCCTACCCAAACGTATCCGGATATCTTGAAAACTGATATATTTTTCTCTGTCAACACTTCACGTAGCGTATTTGAATCGTTTTTGCTTGTCCAAATTAACACGCTATGATGGTAATACGACAGCTGCCGTTACAAAGTATCCCTCATGTTAGTACCGTAAATGATCTAATTGACGCTCATTCTCAGATAGACGCCTCTTATCTAATAAACGCCCCCTTCTCATAGACTCCTCACGAGAATTATTCTAAAATACTAGAAATGAGCAATAAGGAGCAAAATCGTTCATTCGCAATGTAGTCCGTTTCTAGCTTGATTAACAATATGCTGCTTTCTATCTTGCTCGATGTCGAGTTCAAAGTAAAGAATTATTATGACAACCAGGACAACGAAATGATCCTGAGCGCCGATAACTGGGGACCTGTTGCGAAAAACCTACGTTTCCTGTGCCCGTTATTGGTGCGCTGGTTACAGAATACAAAACCGAAAAAATGAATCTTCGTTTTCAAAAACATACGATATGCGTCCTTACTTAAAAGGCGGCCATTTTTGCGGAAAATGTAACAGTAATTTTGGGAGATTCATCATTGTCACGCTAGTTTCCAGAATCTGTGATGCTGTACAACAAAGATCATTTCGAGTGTTAGGATGGATCACTTGCTATTGTGGTAGTGACTGATTATCAAGCAAATGATCATAATGTTTAACAGAGTTAATACTAAATTAAGTGTCAATGTGGAGCAAAAAAATCATCCAATGCCTAAACTAATGGCCTGTTGACATGGAGGTGGAGGACCCCAGGTAGGTGAGGTTAGCCGCTTAGATGGACTAGTCCGCCTGTCCATATAACTTCTCATTTTAATTTGATCACGTTTACATGCATGATAGGTGGTGTGACCCGCCAAGGCGGGTAGCCCGGTCTGCCAGACCGGGTAACCCTCTCAGCTGAGCTGAAATTTTCCATGTAAAGGTTTCAAGGTGGGTTAACCCGCCTAGCAGGGGTCGGATTCGTGATACATTAAATTCGCGCAAAATTCACTTTTGCGGTGGCTTTGAATCATTATTAAAGGTAACAATAGAAAGCCACAGGACTGAAGGTTGCGGCAAGAACAGCAAGTGAGCCGTTTAGAAGAGCATTAATCGCCGAAACACGTGGTTTTTCAGCATTTTTCTTGTTTACGCGCTTAGCAACCATTCAATAATCTTGAGAAAACTCACCCCGGGATGGCGGGGCTGAAAGATTGCATGTTAAGGAGGGTTATTTTTTTTTTACCTCACCTACCTGGGGTTCCCCACCTCCTTGTAAACAGGCCCTGAATTAAGCCTAGAAGTCATTCCCATAGATAGAAATTTAAGGAAGGGGAGGAGGAGAACGATTTTACTCGGCCAGAGTCGTAGCTGCCGTGAAGTTGAAAGCAAAGGGCCATGTGAAGCTGGAGTGGCCGATGCTTTAGACGGACACTCCCATTAGGACTGTGTTACTGATTGGCTCCCTAGGAGAGTCATATGCCGGAGGATCAGATATTCGGTGAGACTACAATCTATGTCGCAAAAGCAGCCTCTAAG